ATATAACATCATCATAGTAAAATCTTTCTATATCAACTTATTTTTTCTAAAATGTCGGTATAACTCACTGTATCACATTTTAAATTTTTTTTGCTAATGAAAAAAAATTATAGAATAACGTATATTAGAAACGGAGCGTATGAGGTGTTGGCTATATGAAGAGCATAGGTAAATCGTGTTTTGATGTCTAAATTTCGTGATCTTATTGGCCAAGATGCCGGACTTTAAACAATCTCTTTGTTCCCAAACACGATTTTACATGTAAAAAATTTGGGATTTCTAGCCATAATATAATTTATATGTCAGAATGTTTGACATTACGGCAAATTAGAGGCATTTTGCGAAACCTAGTTGGGATTCTACCAAATCCCAAACTAATAGGTTTGGGTAGCAACCCTATCTCACAGGTCGAATGAAAGCAAATCGGGCACCAATTGGCATTATGTAATCCCGATATGAACCTGATTAGGCTTCAATATATATCGGAATGCCGATAGCTTAATAGGTAAATCGATAAAGCTATAAGGCAAGCTTTATCGATTTACCTATAAAGCTATCGGCATTCCGATATATATTGAACGCTTATATCAGATTCATATCGAGATTACATAATGCCAATTGGTGCGCGATTTGCCTTGTGTTTACAATATAGAATATAGATAGAAAATAGACGAGAAATTCAGGAAAAATAGACAATCAAAAGTAGCTAACGGGAAAGTTCAGGATATATACTATATTATGTACTGCAGGAAATCGACTTTGCATAGCTAGCTAACGCTAAGCCAATTTTTTTAAATTTCAGCTTTGTTGAATAGATAAATTCAGTTCTATGTATAACAAGTTCAACTTGTTTGATTATCGAATTATCCAGATATATATAAAAGAGATCAAAAAAAAAAAAAAGAAACCGATGATTTCTGATTTCTTTAACATTACTTCTGATGACGTATGTATCAATTAATATTATATATTTAATTAGTACACATTTTCTTTTTTAAAAAAGCTCTTCTAATGGCCAAAAATTATTATCCCAGAACATGCTTTGGATACACTAAGTGTCTTTTTTGTACAATACCTAAAACTTATTGTAACTGAAAAACAAAATTATACTAAAGTTCCTTATGCTTTTACTTTGAAATTTCATGATACTTTCAAATTATTTTCTAGAATTATGCAATAATTCTAACTTTTAAATTTTCTTGCTCATCATCAATATGTAAATTTTATCAGGCTAAAAAAGAAACAAAATTTAATAATACATAATCAAATTCTTTACGTGATGAATAGAGATGCTGGTGAAATTAATTTCACCAATTTCACCAATAGTGGTGAAATTATTTCACCAGCATCTTTAGTGATAAATGTGCAAATTATATTCCTACAAAAGATACTAATCAAATATGTTACAAAATAATGAATCTACGTACGACTTCTATTTCTGCAAAAAAAAAAAATATTTAAGAAATCGGAAATCAGAAATCATCGATTTTTTTTTTTGGTCTGTAAATTTCACATAATTTTACAGACCACTATAATAGCTCTAGCAAATAGGATCGAAACACTAAATAAAATGTGATATAAATTATAAAACAAGAATACCATATCTTAATAGATTCTCAGAACTGTAATAAAAATACTAAATTATATTGATAGTACTACTTCTTCGTGGCAATTATTTTATGTGTTCACACATTTTTATTTGCAAAAAAAGAATATTCACTATAAAATCTATAAAATAAAATTATACTGTAAGTAACACGACTATTTCTATCACTGATAACGATAATCTGTGATAATCAATTATCAGCCCAAAGTACGTACGTACGTATGTATGTAGAAGCATTCGCAATAATGGATGGTGATGATGATTTTCCATTTTGGTAGTCCTTCTGAGATCAGCCCAACATTCTTTATATAGTTTTTTAATTGTTTATTTTTATTTTTTTATTTATTCTAATAATTCAATATTTACCATTTATCAGACGAAGTTAATTATTGGTTAATGTAACATGGTAGCGTTACACTATCAGTGCGCAGTTTAGCTCTAGCCTTAACCTAGATTGGGACAATGTATTTATAAGATCAAAAAATACATGCAAACTTTCCTAAATCTAGGAATTCTGATATGCTTTTATTATACTGTATGTAAAGTTATAACGATAATATATACAATAAAAAATTATATTCACGTAATATATATATAATATATATATATATATAGTTTCTTATATTATGGCATCCTAGCATTCTATGTACAGTATATACTTGTTAAATGCATACCAAATTATTTTAGGCGTGCCAGTTCCACTTAAAGATCAAGTTTTTATTTTTATTTTTTATTTTTTAACGAAATCTCGTTACTCAAACGCCTATCTATCAATCTTCCATAAGAAAATAGATATTGATAGTACGTGACGATGATAACTAAGTCAGGTTATTAGTGTGAGGAACTAATAAATAATTGAGATACGTAGTAGTAATAGCATTTCCTAATAAGTCTAATCCTAATTAACATCAACATCACGCGTTATTTCAAAAGCCGATTGGCGGAATCATAAAAAGAAATTCGCTTTATATTGTTAAATCACCTTTTACGTACGTACGTGCGTACATAAGTATATAGAAGGGATTATCAGTTATAGGGCTTCACTACCAAAAAGATCATTTATTTAAAAAGTTAGTATATACTCTATACAATAGACATAACCAAGTTATTACGATACTACTGTATACTTAGTAAATTAATTTTTTTCAATAGTGAATTAATAATCTATTTTGACAATAAACTTATTTCAATAAAAATTTATAACAGTACATTTGTACATATTTACGTATTTCTCACCCAGGGTGAATTTCACCCCCATAGTAAAATCTAATAAAATGCCAATCTAAAAGAATTATAGGGCCCGTCGTGTAACTAACAAAAAATGTTTCTCGCAATTTTATCCTATTCTAACCCTAACCTATAGTTAGTGGCCTGGTTTTATATATATTGCATCTTAAGAAGGATGAAAATTTATCTAGGTACAGTGCAGGCATCCTTAAACCAGCAAGTTATAAATTTAGTAGTCAAATTTAAATACGTATATATCACACAAAATAAATTAATATAAAATAAATTTGAATTAAAAAAAAAATCAAAAAATAAATTATTAATAGTATAAAAAAAAAAAAAAGATAAAGAAAAATTAAAATTTGAATATACTGTATTTATAATTAATATTAAAATTCTGGTCAGAATTATATTAATTGTGACCAAAATTAAGATAGCCAAATTTTAAATTTATTAATAAAATTGAGTAACTTCAAAAGAATATAATTCTATTAACTAAATTTAATTTATAACTATTTTAGTTTTTTATTTATAAACTTTAAAAGATTATATTTTATATGTTAGTTTAAGAATGTCTACACTGTAGTAAAGTAATTTTCTTTTTATATACAGTATACTACAGTATATGTAAATATATTATATATACAGTATATATATAATATAATCATAAAAAATATTTTAATAGTAAAAATTGTACTGTATATACAATACTATATACAGTATATAAAAATACTATATTATTGCTAAATTGCAAAATTATTGATAATGCTTAGCATGAATTTTAGTAATAATTTAACGTAGTTTAATTTTAGTTAGATAAAAATTTAATATTACTACCTAAATGGTTTTTTTAAAATCAAAGGTATATAATTTTTTAAAAAATAAAATTTAAAGCCGGGTGGCGAGTCACTTTTTTTAAAGATTTATATTATAAAAATCAAAAAATTAACTTATATACAGTATTAAAAAAAATTTTTATTAATCAATAATATGAGTGTTAATAGATAATATCATATCAGTTAGGAAATATATCACATCTACTGTATTAATATATGAGAAATAAATATTTTATAATAAATACTATAATAAAAATATTAAAATTATTATAAACTTTAAGCTCCAGATTATTCATATAATTACGTCTTCAAAATTAGAAAAAATTTTTTTTCATAAAATTTGATTAAAAAAATTGCAATGTTTATAGAATTTAAAAAAGTGTTCTAAATAACCTTAATCTACTATTTTCGTTATGCTTAATTCTAAAATTTGAAAGTTAATATGTAAGTTGAAAATAATCTGGAATTTATAGTAGTTTTATATATATACTGTATTTTTATTATATATAATATATATTTATTATAAAATATCACTCTATGTGACATTCCCTGACTGATACTGTAAATTAACTAACCGCAGTATTATATATGAGGATTTTTAATTTATCCGACAATTATAACAATCAGTGTTGGGCAAATTAGTGGTCGACCAAAAATTTACTGGTCAAATTGGTCAAATGGTCGAACTGGTCAGATTGGTCAAATCTATTATATAAATATAATATATATATTATATAATAAAATTATATTTAAATATACTATATGACCAATTTGACCAGCACAGATCCTTTGACCAGACCGGTCAAATTGGTCAAATTGGTCTGGTCCAATGGTCAAACTGGTCTGGTCAAGCCAACACTGATAACAATATAGTAAAATTTCATCTGGCATCGGTTGATAGAAGCACCACTTCTACGTAGTCTAATATTGGAATCACAAGTATCGATTTAAGGCATTGTATCCAGCGTCTAAACAGTACTGCGCTAGTAATATTGTGGCAAACACGTAATTAAATCGGTAGAAAAAAAATTTTCTATGTTTGTAAAATGAATTGGTTTGGCAATTATCGCGATATCGCTAGCACTACTTAAGTGTCATAGATAGCTGGAGATTATTCACGTCTAATAACACGAAAAACCGAAAAAAAAAGCGAAAAAATCAATAACATGATATTGATAATTCGTTTATTGTTAACTCAATATGCAGACATAGCAATAGGTTTTAAAAAAAATATATATATAAAAAGAATCACATTAAAAAAATTTTTTTTATTAAACCACACTTCAAAATCCCTAAGGCACATCCAATATAGTTCTCACAAATTGTTCCCACTAAATAACCGATGCTTTATAATCTTCAGCAGTTAATTTATTTTTAGCTTTAACAAAAGTTGGCCCTTGCGCAAACGGTGGTACAGGAAGTGGATTACCTGCAACTTTATCAATGTTTCCACTTTCAGACAAAGCTCCATGTTCTAAACTCGCTTGATATTTTTTTACCCAATAAAACATTTTACTAGGACTATTAAGAATTTCAATTGTTTCAATTTTATGGATCCATTCGAGTCCAGCTTTGTCACATGTGTATTTCTCTGTACGTTCAGAGATAGATGTGATATTTTGTGATTTTGATGAGGTAGCTACATTATCTTCAGGTTGCCCAGAGGAAAACAACTTACGCTCACAGTATTCAACGCAATTAACGTAAAAAGATTCAAAGTCATCGACATTACGCGTTAAGAATTCATTGAATTTCTTTACAAGAGGCCATTTAAGCATATTTTCAATCAACGGTAGAGTAGCTAAAAAAGGCTCACTGTCAAATAAGAAGGTTTGTGTACGATCATCAACATATACATTGTACCAAACACCAGGTGTGATTTCATGTTCTATGGGATCATAAAGTCTTTGATCAAGGGCTATATTCATTAAAATTTGTTGATGCGGAGGGGGTTGTTGAGAATAAACAGAAAGAGAACCATTATTCGACCAGAAAGTGGAAGATGATGTGCGCAAAACTTTTTGTTCAATTTCAGGTGTAAATTTATAATGACCAAGAATTATTGAAATAAAAGTAGTAGGTAAATTTCTCCATGATAAGCGTGGCTATTCAAATTAAAAAAAAAAATTTTTTAAATATAAAATAGAACTATAATATTCATAAATAAAAATTTAACATAAAATCAAACGTACCCAGTGATAACCAGTTATTTTTGAACCCCAGGTTTGGCAAGTCGAAACATAATTTATGTAAACACAACGTGAATCCAAAATATGTTTATCTTTTTCATCACCAGAATAACGCATTCTTGCACCCTCCACAGACCAATCAACCAAGAAGTTATCACCAAAATAAGTAAATCTACTACGTGCAGTAAGTGCACTACAAAATGATTGCTCACCACCTTCACTCTTTGGGGCGAGATACCATTGATCATTCAAACGAAAATTAAAAAATCGTTCAAGAAAGGAGAAATAACATATAAGGTGAATAAGTGAAAAAAATAATTGGAGGATAGAGATAGGGTTCACAATACATCTTGAACCAGGTTCAAGACCAAGGTAATAAGGAAGTGTAGAACCACGATGAGGAGCGGACCAACAAATTACACCTTTTATCATACTTCCTGAGGTATGCTGACCGAAAAAATTAGTAGATAGGAGATGTTGAAGATGAAGTGCAGTCGTTGCACCGTAGCCCTTACCTAATAAGACATAATAAACCTACAAGTTAGTATTATTATTTACATTAGTAAAAATTGAAATTGATATAGAATGTTTAACATTACCGATTAAAACGATTGGATTCTCAAGACTCCAATCGGGCACCAAACCTTCATATGTCTGACCTAATTGCCTATGACAGAATTGACGGGAATGAGCGTGTCCATAATCCTACACATATTAAATATAATTAATATTAAGTCGTTAATAAAATAAACTAAGAGAAATAAAAATGCTTACTTACCACTTGACCACCCTTAATTTGATAATATAACTCTACTGCACGATCATGGAGAGACTTCAAATGATTAAGTTTTATAATAATAATTAATAATGATGATGACAATCATGATAATAATAGTAATAGTAATAGTCATAGTCATAGTAATAATAATAGTAACAGCAATAGTCATAGTAATAA